GGGGGGGGGGGGGAGACCTCCCTCCTTGGGCTTTTCCTCCTTAACAACCCCCCAAGACTAGTAATTAACGACAGGCAAGATTTAATAGACTAGTCAGATCGATCGGCGACCAGCAGGCAGAACGACCGGACCGAACTGAGCCACCTACAGGTCACTTGCTGTATCACACTGGAAAAACACCCAGCCATTCAAGTTAGAGATTCTGGATAATTTAGAAGCCACTGGATAAAAGTGTGTTACCTCTGAGATGTGTACTGACATATAAAAAAGCTTTTAAAAAACAAGGAAGAGCAAGTTGATTATGTAGCCGGATCTGCATCGACACTGATATGAGGGTTTGCGAAAGGCGCTGATTCACCCGGAGCATCGCTATTTTAAGCCCCTGGATGCCTCTTAATGTCACGGGGATTAAAATACAGATACGGGGGGCGGGATGGGGCGGGGGGGCCTGACTGGCAAGGGAAAGTGCAGGTGACCCTTCTGGTTTCTATATTCTGTAGAGCAGGATGTTCATTGGTGCAATAAATAACCAAACCCTCACAGGTAACAACAGCGGTTTAAGCTCCAGTCCCTCGGACATCCAGTGTGGCCGTTACTCCACACAGAAGAGGAAGGATCCGGAAAAGCCCCACACGCTCAGGTAGCCCCCTGATGGAAGGCAGTACTTCACATAGAGCTACTTTACTCTCACATTTATTTAGGGTGCGCCTTTGTCTAAAGCATGGTATTACAGAGGATCATCCAGTGTTTATGGAGCCACTGGCCCAACAGCGATATCGCTCACATCAGCCACGGGAACTGAACCGTCGCCCTTCTGATCACAGGCATGGAGTCCAAACCCCCTCCGGCTCAACAGGTTAGGACACTGTGTCTATGATCAGGAAGTCAGAGGTTTAAATCCCAGGGCAGGCATAGTGGTTTCAATGCCCCCTGACCAAGGCCTGAGCTGCAACACGCCATCTGAACCTGCACTCCTAAAAATCCATGTCGCTGAATACAAGGGTCAGCTAAACAAATGAAATGCTAAGCAATGTAAAGAGGAAGCTCAACACCACTGCTGTTGAATTACTTTCCTTAAATTAATCATTCTTCATATCCTGCAATGCAAATCAAAAAACAACATATCCAACAATGAATCGACATGAAAACAAGTCGAGGAAAAGGCCGGAGAGCCTGAATCTTCACCTTCTGGAACCTTCCGAGCCATCCCCCCACCCCAATCCCGGGGCTGCATTCAAAGGCTGGGCTTTACCTTTACAGGTGAGGAAAAGAATGCATTAGAAACATGCGACAGGTCCTGGCCGACCCCGCTGCTGCAATACTGCAGCTCCTGCGCAGATGCATGCATTTGCATCATCGCACACGCCTCAGAGGCTCAGCCGGCCACACGATCTCACACTCACGCTTGCTCACTTACCCCCCCTCCCTCTCCCTGTCACACACGCACACACCCAGTCATTGTGCAGAAGAGGAGAGCCTCACACCATTTCACTGGGGGGGGGTGCAGTGTTTAATGTAGGCCTTGTTTTGAACTGGGCAAATGTAAATTTCCAATGATATCCAAGGCGAGGCTTGTTCCGAGCTCTGGATTCCAGTAGCAGGACACAGGAATGCTCGGTACAGGCAGCAGTTCTCCGCTCTCATGTCCTCCATCCCACCAGCCACGCAGGATTTCCCTCTGTCACGGGGACGGGGTGACATCCCAGCAACCCCACGGAGCTCACACCCTCTTAACAAGTTTTATCAAGCTTCTAATTCCATGCCACTGCCATCAGAAAATCACAACAACTCGAAGACAGATGAAGAACCCTAACATCGATCCCACCTCCCTCCCAAAATCGCCACCTCTCCGGCTGCACTGCCCGCCCACTCGCTCTTACAGATCATTATTACAGCAGATCGCAGGATCCGTTTGGTCAAATCGAGGACCTGAGAGCTCTCCCGACACAACGGAGGAGCGAGCAACGTGACGAGACATCCAACTGGCATTCGAATGAAAAATGTTTAAAGCCTGGAGATAATTTAAGGCAAATTAACAAACGTTTCCAGGCAATTAGCAAACCAGCGAATCATTACATTGCTTCCAAACACATATGTACGCAATAGGAGACAGACCTCCCTTCTACGCCTGCGACAGAAATCTATGTTTTTCGCAACTGACATTTAAGCAATATCGAGAGTCCAATAATGACAGAAAAGAAGATGCTGCTAATTGCTTTCCCAAAAGGGCCTCCCACAACCACGTCTTCAAGTTGACAACTCTAAACAAAAGCAGACAAGATGCAGCAGCAGACCTTTAATCCTCAACATGAGCCCTAGTTTTGGATGAACCATAAACAGTGAAAATGGCAGAGCAGGAAAGCAAAGATGGCCTCTCTGAGCAAGCAGAGAGGAGCACGGCAGGCCTGAACACGTCTGCGTACAGCGCACCGGTGCCTCACAGGCATGTGACCACAACCTGAACAAAGCCACTTCCCCAAGGATAATGAAGCTCAGTCTTCTGATAGGTGGTCACAATACGAGTCACATGACCCAAACTGAGATGCGCTATTGGTTAATTCACTCGATCCTGCTGCAGTCTACAGGCAGATGTATAAGACATTTGTGAATAGCGATTTCTACTCAATATCAGTTGCACATGGAACAGGAAACATTTCCACAATGTTCCAGAACCGTCTCCGCGGTGCTGAGAAGCCACCGCTAGGTGTGGAATGCCGCGGTAGGTTAACTTCTTTGACTCCGCCTCCCGCCTCCACCAGCCCCCCCCCACCGTGCCGTTTGGGCCACTGCTACTCCAAGAACAAGCGTCCAGGAAACCACATCTGTTAAACTACTGAGTTTCAAGTGGATTGGGGGGGGGGGGGCAATCGGAGGAAACTTCCCAGCATGCATCAGGCTGCCGCACCGTGGCCGATTGCCCCATGGCCTCACGAGGATGCCGCCTGTGGCCACCCAGTCAGCGAAACTGGCCAGTCAGCAGGCATTCCTGAGCCGGGCGTTCCCACTGGCTTTTCTCTCTCCCTCGCTCCCTCCCTCCCTCTCTCCTTCCTTCGCTCCCTCCCTCCCTCCCTACGTTTCCTCCTCTCTCCGTGAGAGGAGCAGATTCCAGCGAGAAGGTGCTGCCAAACCCTGCTGCGTCATTCGGGTTTCACCCCTCAGCCTCAGCTAGGACTTTTCATCTTTCTATGCTTCTGGGGGGAAAAAAGAACCAATAAGAATGCAAAGCACTTTCTTTGCGCCAGTGTACCTTTGCCTATTCACCTTTTACATGCAGAACAAGGGGCCAGACGTACCAAGTATATCAGTGGTTTTTTTTTCCATGAGTAAGTCACTAATGAGCTCAAGTTAGCAATTCGAGACTCAGTTTGTCCCCTGAATGATGTGCAAATGTGGTAATTAGCAGCTTAAGCAGATTATTAACATGCAGAGAGGAGGTGCAGGGGGGGGGGGCAGCCCGTTCTGCACCCCCCCACGTGGTACATACCCGGTTCCAGCTTGATGACCTTAATGGCGGCCAGTTCGCCGGTGCTGACGTTCCGGGCCTGAAAGATGGAACAAAGAGTACAAAAATTCTTAGACCTGGAAGAGCTGCGGGAAATGGGGGGAGTTTCCTGTCGCTGTATAGCTGTAAGGTCTTCAGTGTCTTTATGGGGGGGGGGCTATACAACACTCAGCTGCTATAACTGGTTTCTCCCAAAATCCTCAACAAAACAGAACAAAAAGAAAAAAATAAAAATAAATAAAAACATAACGCTTTGAAGGCACTAACTGCTAATCTCCCATAAGAGCATCTGCAGGCCAACAAAAGTTAAATCATCATCACTATTAATTAATTCAATAAGGAATCAAAGGAGAAGTTAGGAGAGGACCTCCAGGAGGGAGATGAAAGCGCTATTTTGGGCATCGGCTACACCGGTAATTATGGGGGGGGGGCACCAGCCATGCCTCATATAGATCAGGAACTATATGGGTGTGATACCCCCCCCCACCCCAATCACACAGGCCTGGTAATTAACTCCGCAGCCACGCGCTGTTTTCTAACAGCTAATGACTAACCTCATCGTCAGGAAGCTGGAAGGCAAAAATCCCCCCCCCCCCCCCCAAAACCCAACCCAATGCTGAGGGGGGTCATGCTAACTTCACACAACAGCACACAACCTGCATTCCTGCCTGCAGTGATGCTACTGAACATCTGAACACCCACTGAGAGCCCCCCCTCCCCCCCCACCAGCAAACGGGACTGCCCCCCATGAGCCGCTACAATATGCTTCAGGAAGAGAGCAGCGGTATTAGTACTCAAGAAAAAAAAAAAAAACCCTTACATGAGATCAAAGATCCAGCCGGACGGGTTTAACAACATGGCAATTTCACTGAACAAATAAACAGGAGTGGGAGGGGCTCTCAAGCTGACCAATGTGGACGGTCGTACCCTAATGTGGCAGTTCGTGTCGGTTTTGGAAAACACATCTAGCTAACAGCTGCACACTCAGACGGGGTAAAAAAAAAAGAAGAAGAAAAAAAAAGAAAAATGTTTCCCTCAAAGCCCTTTGTTACCGAGACATGTCAACAGGAAACAAAGCCAGCCCCCCCCAACCCGAACATCCCCGAGCGACCACAAGGGGAAAAGGCTACTGAAGGAGCTTTCTTATCACCAAGAAACATGCCCTTCGACCCCTCCAGGGGCCTGGCACCCCCCCAGTACCAGCTGCCTCAAACGGGGACATAAAGTAGACATCGTCTGAATATCAAGAATTCTATATTGCAAAGCAATGTTGCGTTTAAGAGAAGTAGTTCTTAAATCATACATATAGCATAAGACCATCCTAATTAGATACCAGCCACAACTCAAAATCTTCTGAGCAGTACAGAAGAAGCATGGCTGGCGTGAGCGATACGCAGTGTCAGGGAAAAGGCAGAGGACTTGTGAAGTCGCGCTGATGCAAGGCTCACACAAACTTACCAACGTGAGGAATCGATGGGCCGTCCTCAGAAACCACAGACGAGTCATCGGAACAGGCAACTGTCTAACAAGATGGCAGAAACGAAGATAACGGAACCACGCTGGACCCCCTGATGCCCCCCTGGCCAACGGAGGGGCCGTAGGTATAGCCCCCCCACAGCAAACAGCGAAAGACACCTAAAACCATTCATACACTTGACAGGACCAATAAGAAAATCAATGTTTATTCCTAAATATAAAGACTTAGGTTCCTTGTGTAAAACAAAATAGGACCTTCTCCAGACAGAAACAGAAGAATCGAAGCATATATAAAAGACTGATTTCAATCAGTACACAATTCATAATTATTTATCCAATTACCAACAACGATCTGAAGACTATCTTGGTACGGGCAGGACTAGGGGTGGAGCCGAACCCGAATACGGTATTCGGAAAGGCACAAATAATGTGTTTTTTACGAATACTTATTTCGAACAAATACTTAAAAAAATATTTGTATTCGGGAACAAGAAAAACTTTATATCAAAAAGCTGCGTTTCCTCTTGAGACCGCAGTGCATGCCCGGAAGAGTGAGTGAGTGAGTGAGTGAGTGAGTTCAGGAGTCGGGGGGGGAGTAAAAGAGGTGACTGACACAGGCTGCTCCACACAGTAACAGAGAAGGCTCGGCTCAGCGAAAAAAGACTTAACTGTATCACTATTTTTGTTGAATAGATTTTTGTACCTTAACTGGGTTCCGGAGGCAGTTTATAACTTTCGGGAAGCAGAGTTTGATCTGGAGATTATTCCATTACGCTGCATTATTGACGTCTGCAATCAGGTGCTCTCATGTTCGCTCTGTTTACGTAGCTCTGTTAGCTCGGTAATTTAGACAATAGGCTGTTGACAGAGTAACGTTAAGGTTTGGTTAAAAAGGTTAAAACAATGCTTGTGTAGTTGTGTCGAATTGTATGCACTTGTAGGAGTTATATGGTACGTTTAAGTTACTCTGTCTACTGCATATCCATAATTATTATAATGGATATAATTAAAGAATACTTACACTATAGCGTAAATTAGAAGTGCAACGCAAAAAAACTGGATTTTTACGCCTATTTTGAATTTTACTCGAATACGAATACAAATACAAATACGTTTCCCCCCTCAACAAATACAAATACAGATACAAATACCGGCTGCTTTGCACACCCCTAGGCAGGACATAAGATAGCGGAGACTAGCCTGTAACAGAGTGTGTGCAAACATGCGGAATTCGCCGGTAACTTGCAGTGTGCACCTAAAACCAAGCACACATCAGGCATTTTCATAACGCTTCCACAACGTTGCGAGGCCATCGCCTCTGTGCTTGCCTCCCTCTCACACGGGGAAATGCATGCAAGCTCAGGGCCCGGAGGGATTCGACCCCACAGCTGCTAGATGTCAAACCTGAGAAATGCAGCCAAAGAGCAGTACTGTGATCAGCCTAATGCAAACGGGATCTCTGTCTAACTCTGTTTCTGGGAGACTGCAGCTCGCAGCAAATATGCGGTTGGTTCAGGGGGTAAATGTGAGCCTCCTCTTCCTATTAATCGCTACTTCACTTTGACACATGCCGAGGTTACATGTCAGTCAATCACACAACAACGGCTCCAATCTCACATTTCCAAACTGTCCACAGAGTTGAGGGGTCTAATGCAATGGCGGAGGCTGAGCTCTGGCGTCCAGCATCACATGTTACAGTGCCGCAGTTTCATGCGTCTGTTTTCTAGCCTGTAAAAGTTAGAAACCAGAGACTGCATCGCAGCAGGACATGTTCTTCCTAGCAGGGAGTGCGTAACCAGGGAATAAATCCTGTACCGCAAGGCTTCAAAGATGCGGCAATGATACCAGAGCCGCAGCATGGAGATCTAGGGCACATGCCACCCGCTGCACGGCTGCAGCTTGGTTACAAGCCGCATACCGCTGCACGGGTGCTTATCTAGGTTGATGACCTTTAGCCAATCATTTGCATGGCAGGTGTTGATAGTGCGGTGGAGGAAGCTAAAGGAAAATGTGTACAGAGCATTATGGGAAGGGATGGAAAAATAGCATGATTGACAGCCACTCTGGGAAGCCCTTATCTCGCCCGCATGTGTCCTCCAAGCCTGCCCGCCAGAAGCGCAGTACCTCTCCGAAAACGGCGCCGTGCCACGCTGTTTGGAAAACGCCCTGTGTGTTTATTTTTGGCCGAGCGTTCACAGTCGGGGACAGTTACCGAACAGCAGAGGCTCTGAGGTCCAAGTGAGCTGAGAGGCCCAGAGATTTAAGGACCTCAAGGAGTCCTGCAGATCTTCAGGAACATGATGTTACTTCCAAAAATTTCACTGTTGTGGGGGGACTGTAAGGTACTGTCAGGACACCACACACACTTAACGTACTGAACTATACAAGTGAAAATGCTATACCTGTTATACGAGAGATATACTCATGTTTTTATACTCATGTTGAATATTTACCAGTCAAATTTCACCAGTCACCAGTATGCCTCACATGCTGGGTAGCAGGCAACTTAACGCACAGATTCGTGCTTTAAGTCCAGCTAATGTCCATTCAATCATCCACACTTTTTGGGACCTTATATCTTACATCACATACAGACCGTTAACTAGGGCTGGGCGACATGTCCTAAAAATGATATCACAATATTTTCAGAGATTTTCACGATTTTCAATATTTATGACGGTGTTCTAAAATTCATATGTAGACAACAGTAAAATATGACAGGTGGTTTTGACTTTTTTTTAATCATGATGACCAAATTGTTTTACTAATAGTTATGGAGCGTATGACAGGTATAATGATAAATGATTCCAACAACAGACTCATACTTACATGGAATTTGTTTTAAAATAGTGTATAACTATTAATTATGCAAGAAAACAAATGTTTAAACTATATAACGACACTCACGATATTCAAATGGATGGTGATATGCATGTTCATAAACACGACACGATATTTTATTGATATATCGCCTAACCCTACTGCAAGCACCATCAATCCCTCTCCCAGTAACCCCATATTAATCAAATGCTGCAAACAGGCACCACAATAGAGAACATGGCGGCAGGAGCCCCCTCTGTCATAAACACACCTTCCCATCATTCCTCACACCTCAAGGCTCACTCTCTTTAGATACGGCTCTGTGGTCCCGACAGGCACAAAGCGGACGACTCAAAAGAGCTGTATTCACACCCAGGGCGATTCATCGAGTACCATATGCAGGATGGCCCCCGGTCTACTGAATCATGGGAAGGGAGCTCCAACCCCCGGCAGCGTTAACAACCACGATAGGAAGGACAGGGCTTGTGTGCCCCCCTTTCGTGTCCAGTGAGCTAACACCCCACGAGAGTGCAGTGCTGAACCCCACCAAAAGGGGGCGCCCTTTCTGAGAGAGGAGGATCAAGGACATGGTGCAATGGAAAACCAGCAAAAAGATGTCAGACAGAGATAATACTCTATAAACCTAGTGTAGACGGAGGAGGGAAAGAAAGAGGGGAAGCCAAAAAAGAAGAGAAAGGAAGTATGTGTGACGAGCCTCTCTGCAGACCTTGACAGCACAGTATA